CATAAAATATATAAACACATACACACAAGCACATGCACACTCACTCACTCACTCCCTGTTCCACTGACCCACTCATACACACACGTTCACACTGATTTACTCTCTCTCTCTCTCTCTCTCTCTCTCTCTCTCTCTCTCTCTCTCTCTCTCTCTCTCACACACACACACACACACACACACACACACACATACACACAGACACTCACACATAACACACACAATGTACACACTTGTAATACATACAAACACACACACATGGACACACATGCAACACATACAAACACACACTCACATACACACACGTACACACGCGTAAACACACATACACACACACACACGCACATACACACTTGCTTGCATCCAGGTTCCACTTTGATGGTCTGATGAGTGGTAAAGGCATGCCACACGGATTGGTTGATCGCAGGTGTGCCTCGGAAGACAAGACGCCATTCTCGATTTTCCGTGAAAAATACGTCATAGAACTGGGAATCGATTTCCTCCTGTAAAAAAAAAATGAAGACGCTACCTCAGATTTACAAAGTTCTATCTGACAGGCAAATTCCATTGGACACACAATGCAAAAAGGAGCATTGGAGAATAATATTGTAACAACAGGCAAGTTTGATAGAAAAAAAAGGCAGAGGCAGACACAGGGAAAAGATACTGGACAAGTTGATAACATGGCTGGGAACAGCAAGAACAACAGACACCATCGCTGCAACAAAAGACAGATTGAAGTGGAGGTCCATGATCGCCCACGCCAGTCGGCAAGGCACGGGATGATGATGATGATGATGATGATGATGATGATGATGATCTGACGTTATTGGTCGTTTTGAGTCACTAAAACTATAGAGATCAGAAACTACATTTATTTAATGTTCTATCTGTTCTATCGAAACCGTAAAATTACTCGGAGTCATGATCAAGATATTCAAAGAATTGCATTCGAAAAAAGCTAGACATGATGTAAAACTCAACATCTTTGATATCATACTTTTCAAAACTTGGTGCAGCAAATGCAGAGAGAACTCTGTAATTCTGAGGAAGCGAAGTCTGGCCAATGTATTATCTACATAACTCTTTGCATGAAAGTCGGGCTTTTTGCTTAAGATAATGTTACAGGCATAATACATGCATTTAAATGTAACGCAATATTACGTCTGTGTGTGTGTATGAGTGTATATGTGTATTTGTGTGTGTGTATGTGTGTGCGTGAGTGTGTGTGTGTGTGTGTGTGTGTGTGTGTGTGTGTGTGTGTGTGTGTGTGTGTAGGAGCGCGGTTAACTCTTCACCGGTAGATTATATTAGAGAGAGAGAGAGAAAGAGAGAGAGAGAGAGAGAGAGAGAGAGAGAGAGAGAGAGAGAGAGAGAGAGAGAGAGAGAGAGAGAGAGAGAGAGAGAGAGAGAGAGACAAAATGTCCATGTTTACCACGGAATCAAGCTCAATACTAAACATCTGTCCATAGCACGTCTTGGCATTCCGCCACAGCAAACATGTACGTACCACTTGATGGCATTATTATTATTATTACTATTATTATTATTATTATTATTATTATTATTATTATTATTATTATTATTATTATTATTATTATTATTATTATTATTATTATTATTATCATGATTATCATAATTATTATATTACCATTATATCATTATTATTATTATTATTATTATTATTATTATTATTATTATTATTATTATTATTATTATTATCATTATTATCATTATTATTATTATCATAATAACTATTACAGCATTAATGTGGTCGCTATCGTACTGAATCTGCCCTATAAAACAAATCGGCGAGTGACACTAACAAACCGACGGGGTAAACGAACAAACGTGAAGGAACATGAACAAACATTGAAAAACAAGAAGACTCCTGACTTACCGAAATCTGACTGAACACAACTGGAAGACAAAGTATTAGGTATAAGAACGACTTCATTGTGGGTTGGATATGGGTCAGTAAAGTCTTCTGTTTTGATAGACCACGCAGGTTCTCAAATAGACTACTCTGCATACAGCAACTGGCGACAAGTTTTTAAGTAACGCCCACAGTACCGCCCGTCCCTACTGCCCTAGGTAGAAAAGAGAGTTATTTAATCCAACCCAGGCTTATCAGTGGATTACGTCATTACACGAACTCAATTTCATAGGACAGGAAGCAACACTGCTTCAAAATTACAGTCAAAATTGTGTAAATTCGGCCACTCATTGTCGTGGAGAAAAGTGGACGTCTTAGACTGGTGACCGTCTTACAAAGTTTCATATGAATGTTGAAAACCCCCCCACGAAAAGGGGGAAATGGAAAGGGGCCGTTAGTACATGTGATTGATTCTATCTATCTATCTATCTATCTATCTATCTATCTATCTATCTATCTATCTATCTAAAACATAAACACACACACACATACACACGTACACATACACAAATACACACACGTACATAATATACACTCGCACATTAGTGCGTTCGCACGCTCGCATCGCCAATAACACATCAGCCGCACTCGACTAAAACAAAAACTCTTGATATAAATAAACACCTAAAGAACGAGAGGTAATGTAGAGGCTGAGAGATGTAGAAAGAAATGGTAACCAAAAACATGCTAAAACAACCGAAAATATGTGACAACAAAACAAAAGAGCATTTAAAAAAAAAAGACGAATATCGAAGCTAAGAGTAGTTTTCAAAAATCCAGACCAATCAGAAGGTACAGGTCTGAGACGCAACTAGTGCATTCTTGGCTGCAGCAGGTGGAGCAGACATACCGGGCCGGACCAAATTGGAGGGGGGGGGTTTACAACGGGCGGTGAGGGGGGGGATAAGGAGGCGCGAGAAAAACGTGGGTCCTAGAATGCGGTGGGAGTGATCATAGGTAGGCTAATGGGAGTGGCGAGGGGGGGGG